GCATCTAACAGAATCCACAATAGGACAATGAATGGGGGCTAAAATAAGCCTTAAATGGGCTTACCTATGTTCTGATAGGTCAACGTCATCACTGCGATCCAAAACAGATTAAGATTGCAATGATGACGTGGTCACTTTACGAGTGGGCGTGATGTCATGACCCCTTCTATGTATATGTGTCCATCCGCGTGGCTGCGGCCAGACCACGTGGCAGGTGAAAGTCTGTGTGGCTCGAAGGAGGTGAGTCTTCCTCAGTGTGCCGCGTAGTCGTGTGGAGTGGTCAGACCGCGTGACAGGAGGAGGTCTGCGTGGCACGGTGGAGTTAAGTAATGCCACAATATGGAAGTAATAGGCCAGTTCTATGAATAAAATCAATCACTGTTAAAAACCAAAAATAGAACAATTCATAAAATCATAATGCACTAAATGAAAGGATGTAGAATGAAGGATATTCCTGAATTTGTTTGTCTACGGAGCAATTGATGTGGAGGTATTTTTAAATTAAAATTGCTATTTTGTCAGAGAATGGAAATTTTGCAACCCAACAAGCAAGGAGGGGACACTGGCATGAATGACGGTGATCAATCAAACAAGCAGTGTGGCATGTCTGTAACTTGAATAACATTCCTTAATCAGATGTCTTACACTGAAAAAGGTCATCAATGGATACATCTTCTGGGCAGAACCAGATACTTAACTTCAGCATATAAATTATAACTGATTGTTCAGTTTTCTCTGGAGAAAGATTAAACTGTACGCAGGGTCAATCAATGCTAATTTTTAAAGCCCTTAAGAGGCTGTATTCCAGTTACAACAATGCATCAATGTATCAGTTACATTTAGCTGAAAAATGCTTATTTGTACATGTGGATACTAGGTTATGATAAAAGTCATCTAAAAAAAGGCATTAAAAATATAAAATATAATTTTTGCACTTTATGCATGTGGTTTTGGGGCTCACATTAAGCACTCTATGTTACGTGATAAAGATATCAAAATGGAGTATGTCCAGTTTTTTTTAATAGCTACAAATCCTGGCCAAAGTTGGCATTCATCTTTGTTTTTTGTATTTTTCACACAAAAATGGCATTTACACTGATTATATCGTCATCATGATACATTTTAACGTGAAAACCCTCATATTTGTATTCACCAAAGTCTCACGAGTACAACAGTACCCCACATGTACAGGTTTTATGGTGTTTTGGAAAGTTAATATAAACAGAGCTCCAGGGTCTGACGGTATCCAACCACGAGTACTTAAGGAACTAAGTGTAGAAATGTCACATCCTGTTCCTCGCTGCGGATCATTCTGGCAATGGCTTCTGGTATCCAGTACTCTTTTTGCTGTCCTTGCTTGGTTTTTCTGGTCTTCTGGTCTATGTCTGGTTTTCTTTGTTGCTGGGTTTCTGGGTTCATTCTTATATTCCGTCCCTGGATTTCCCAGTCTCTTGGATTCACTTAAATGTTTGTTTTATGTTGCCACACCCGTTTGTTTTCCACTTTCCTTTTGTTTCAGCCTGGACCTGTAGCAGTGTTTCAAGTCTCTGCCCTTTCTTGCAAGTAAGTGCTATATTGTGGTTTAGTATAGTTGTTTTAGTATGCATTAGGCAGTGTATGACCTGCCAGATATGGGGTACATTGGCTTTGTTGGCAGGCTTATGCAATGTATGATCATATAATGTAACTAAATCCCCATGCTTTTCATATATAGTGCTTAGTTATGTCTCCCCTTGTTTTGCCTTGTATCTCTTGTCTTGTTTTATTTAGTCTTGTAATCCCAGTCCATGTACAATCCTATCCAGTCATGCCCATGTAATGTTCTTGTTTTCCTCCTGTCTTGTGTACATGTTCTGGGTTCTGCTTTCTGTTCTGCTCTGGTTCTGGGTTCTCCTACTTTTGTCTTGTTTTCATGTATGGTGCCTATCTCTGGTTCTACTAGTTTTGTCTTGTTTTCATGTATGGTGCTTATTTCTAGTCTTGCCTTGTTCTCCTAGTTTTGTCTTGTTTTCATGTATGGTGCCTATTTCTAGTCCTGCCTTTTTCTCCTTGTTTTGTCTTGTTTTCATGTATGGTGCCTATCTCTAGTCTTGCCTTGCTTCAGTACTGGATACATCCCTGCTGCAGAGCCTCCCTATTCAGCTCCTAGGAGGTCTGCTTAATTACCTACTCCTAGTTCCTGGGATCCGCATAAGCTGAATTAGGGTTCTGGTATGTGGCTGCACACACGCTGGTGCTCAACACCAGACCCTGCTAATCCACCTCCACACTGTGACTCCTACTCTGAACATCAGGCATACATGGGTCCAGGTCCACCCACCGCCGCCCGGACAGTGTCTGGGTCCCGGGTATCGGACCACTCACCCTGACAAGAAATAAGTGAACCTCTGTTTTTAATCTTTCAAGATTCTTTTCTTTCAGGAAGTGTTCCGGAGGAATGGAGGAAGGCAGATGTGGTTCCTATATTCAAAAAGGATTCAAAATCCTTGCCTGGAAATTATAGACCTGTGAGCTTAACTTCTGTGGCTGGGAAAATATTTGAAAGGTTATTAAGGGATAATATTCAAGAATTCCTTGAGAAGAACATGGTTATCAGCAAAATCAGCATGGTTTTATGAAGCACAGGTCATGTCAAACTAACTTGATTGCGTTCTACGAAGAAGTAAGTAGAAGTATAGATCAGAGTGTTGCAGTGGATGTGATCTATTTGGATTTTGCCATGGCATTTGATACACAATAGATATGTTCAAACTCAAGGAAATCGGTCTAGATGAAAATGCTTGTTCTTGGGTAGAACATTGGCTTAAAAACAGAGTACAAAGAGTTGTCATTAAAGGTAAATTTTCAAGCTGGACAGAGGTGGCAAGTGGTGTCCCTCAGGGGTCAGTTCTGGGACCCCTTCTATTTAACATGTTTATAAATGATCTTGAAGACCGCATTGAAAGAATACACAAGCAACGTATACCCTTAATGGAAGCGAATTAGGGATAACCACACACAAAAAGGACTTGGGAATTGTTATAGACAACAAACTATGCAACAATGTGCAATGTCAATCAGCAGTGGCCAAGGCCAGTAAGGTATTGTCATGCATGTAAAAGGGCATTCATTCTCGGGACGAGAATATAATTTTGCCTCTTTATAAATCACTGGTAAGACCACATATTGAATATGCTGTGCAATTTTGGGCACCTGTCCTAAAGAAGGATATCATGGCACTAGAAAAAGTGCAGAGGCGGGCTGCAAAATTAATAAAAGGAATGGAACATATCAGCTATGAAGAAAGGTTAACAAATTTAAACCTATTTAGTTTAGAAAAACGTTGCTTGAGAGGGGATATGATAACATTGTACAAATATATTCGGGGCCAATACAAACCATTGTGTGGAAATCTATTCACAAACCGGACTTTACATAGGACACAAGATCATGCGTTTAGACTAGAAGAAAGAAGATTTCGTCTAAAGCAAAGGAAAGGTTTTTTTACTGTAAGAACAATAAGGATGTGGAATTATCTGCCTGAAGAAGTGGTTTTATCAGAGTCCATACAGATGTTCAAACAGCTACTAGATGCATACTTGCAAAAACAGAATATTCAAGGATATAATCTTTCAATGTAGGGTAATAACCGCTTGATCCAAGGATAAATCTGACTGCCATTCTGGGGTCAAGAAGGAATTTTTTTTTCTAGCTTGTTGCAAAATTATAGTTCAAACTGGGTTTTTTTTTGCTTTCTTTTGGATCAACAGCAAAAAACTAATGTGAGGAAGGCTGAACTTGATGGACACAAGTCTCTTTTCAGCTATGTAACTATGTAACATTGCAGCAAAGTATCTATTCTTCAGGCTTATAAATGGTTTGCACCTTGTGGTGAACCCTCTGTATTTGCTCTTGCACAGTCTTCTTTTGGATAATGATATGCCAACTCCTGCAAAGTGTTCTTCACTTGGATGGATGTGGTGAAGGGGTATTTCTTTGTCATGGAAATGATCCTCCACCACTTTTGGTTTTTGTTTGTATGTCCAGGCCTTTTCGTGTTGCAGAGCTCATCGCTTTAAATCATATTTACTTTTTTGTCAGTCCAGGAATGGCCTATATCACTTGAGAGGCCAATTGGCCGCATCTTGTGGGTTCACAGCAACAGCTTCCAGACCTTTTACCTGCTTAATTGAAGAAGACATAACAAAGGAATATCCCACGCCTGTCCATAAAGCAGCTTTTGAGTCAAATGTCCAATTACTTTTGGTCCTTTGAAAAAGAGGGGGCTACATATAAAAGAGCTGTAGTTCCTAAACCCTTCCTCTAATTTGGATCTGAATATCCTCAAATTAAAGAGAGGCTGCATTTTAAGCCTATTTTAATTCTTTAACTGTAACTTGAATTTATTTTGGTAAACAACCAAAATAACAAAACCTGTGTCAGTGTTCAAATATTTCCAGACCTAACTGTTCATATTAGCACTACTCTGTTTTTAAATGTATCAAATAATGTTCACAAATATACAATGTGTTTCCTTTCCATGAAAACATATGAATGCTGTTCACGCAAATTAAATACATCCTTAAGCATGTTTAATAAATAAAATATTACTTTATGTTTCTTTAAAAACTAGATTACCTGACAAGCTTTTTTTTTATATATTTGATTAATGCATGCAAAATGACAGACAAGAACATTGTGTATCTTCTACTTGGATTTTGTTTTTCTTAAGGCATGTCATAGTTTCCATTTCTATCATGATCATTTTTCCCTCTGGGCTTTTTCCAGAATAGTTATGTTACTTTTCTGTACATTTTTAAGAACGTATAATCAAAGTAAGTTATTTTTTATAGATTCAGGAATGTGTTGGATGCATAAAACATAATTTAAAAATGTACTTAATGGGGGGCGTGGCTAACAGCCAAGAGCAATGGACGCTTAAATCCTAGCTCTGGCTAAAAGGGTATGCAATCTGATGACATCTGACGAAATAGGACAACACTAAACTATAAAATAACACGATGGCGCAACAGAAAACTAAGAAGAGCACTAACAAGGCTGAAAAACTAAATTTCTTCGGAAATAAAGCCCAAACGAAACAAAATACACAACGGGCCCTCATGCAAGATGGCGACGCATGCCGCGAAGACCTAGATACTCCCGCGCTCACAGAATCTGACCCAGACAGAATCACAAAGAGCTACCTACAAACAGCGCTGGATATGCTATCACAAAAGCTAATCAGTACTTGGCAGCACTCGGTAGATTCCTTGAGAAGAGACGTCCAGGAACTGGGGAAACGCACGGCACATATGGAGACCTTCGCCACAGCCCACAATGATCTAGCTTCCCATGTTGAACAGCTAGAATGGAGAACTGAGGCAACTGAGGTCAAACTTACAGACCTAGAAGACAGGGCTCGCAGGAACAACCTGAAAACATATTACCGGAAAATCTGCAGGCATACACCAGAGGCCTGTTTAAGGCCTATGCACCGGATATACCAACCGAAATGTTGCTGATTGATAGAATACACAGACGGCCGTGCCCACGCTTTCTCCCAGAGACGGCCCAGAGAGATATTCTACTTAGGGCGCGTTATTACCACGTTAAAGAGCAAATTCTCAGAGAGTGCTGCAACAAAGGAAAACCACCAGCAGACTACCCTGAGGTCAAAATCTTTGCAGACATTTCAACAACCACACACTGCACAGAAGAAAGGACTTTTCCCAGGTCGCTGACCTAGTGAGAAAAAATGCAGTCTTCACTGAGTTGATTGTGAAGTGAGGCCTGACTAGAAGGGAAAGATCAGATAATAACAAGAAAAACAAATAGACAATGCCCAAATTTATGTTTGTATAAATGTATGGGACTTAACAAGTCTAGAAGGTTAGAATGACTATGCTATGTAGCCAATATTGAAAACTAAAAGCAAAGTAAAGGCTGATTATATGTATAAGTTATTGGAACCACAAGAGATAGCTGACTAGAGGGGAAAGATCAGATAACAACAAGATAAATGAATAGACAATGCCCAAATTTATGTTTATGTTTGTGTAACTACATAGAACTAGCAAGTCTAGAAGGTTACAATGATTATGCTATGTAGCCAATATTGAAAACGGAATACGAAGCAAATGGTGATTAAATGTATAAGCTAATGAAACCCTAAAAGACAATATGCATAAAAGATCACACTGATCACGTAGACATGACCCTCTCGGCCTCAACTTAGGTGAAACCGGGCCCCACGCATTAATATAAATGCTGGCCTAACTAAGTCCCATAGCCAATACTTTAAGAACTACATAAGCAGACCCGCAGCCACTAACTGGAACACAATAGTTCATACCCCCGAGGTACCACAAGTCGGTACCCTGCCTCAAATATGGAGGCTATGTACATACTTTCTTTCGATGTTTACCCCAGTTGTACTTAACCCCACTCCCCTAATAAAACCCGGACGGATGAACAAAAATTGGCAAACAATCAAATTCAGGCAACAGCCCAAACCCAATAATCTAATGAACCAAAAAGCACTGCAAGCAAACACAATGAGCCACATAAGGAGCAGTATCAAACTGAAATGATATCTAACAATAAAGCATACCAAAAAGGAACAAAACACAAAGGCAGATACCATAGAGAGACAAGTCCCGCAGAGATATATTGTAAAGAACCAAGGATACATGAAAAGTTATTACACATACCTCCTTGCATAGCCCACCTAATATGAAATTACAAACACATAATGTGAGGGGCCTCAACACCCCACACAAAAGGAGGTTACTCCTGGAAGCCATGAAAAAAGAACAGATTGATGTAATGTGTATGCAGGAAACACACTTTAAACATAGCAAAATCCCAGAATTTGGTAAAAGAGACTTCCCGATCCAATACCATTCATCTAAATCAAGAGGAGTATTCTTTTTCTTCCACAAATCTCTCACCTTTGAACTATTGCAAATAAAAAGGACCCACATGGAAGATACAGCATAATATATTGCACACTGGTCGGCATATACAGTGCTAATACAAACCAAAAAAACTTCTTACTTAAAGTTCTTAATAAGATACCACCTCCACAGAGAGCCTCCATGATTCTCTGTGGAGACTTGAACCATGTTATGCACCCACTGGCGGACACCTCCCTTAGTCCTGATACCCCTAGAGTCAAATCACTAAAAAGGCAAAACGCTATCCAAACTAGTATTAGAACATAACCTATATGACATATGGAGGACACAGCATCCCACCGAAAAAGGATACACATATTACTCACAGGTGCATAAATCCTACTCCAGGATAGACATGATTTTAGTAACCAACACCATCCTACAAAAAGTAAAAACCAGTAAATTGGGCAACATAGTGTGGTCAGACCACACGCCACTATCTATAACATTGCAAGCCAATTTTGACCACAGAGGCAAAGTCCCATTGAGGCTAAATGACACTTTGTTACACAACGAGGAATTTAGCAAACAGATAAATAAAGAGCTCAGTGACTATTTCAAATACAATACACTCCCTGAACTAACTCCTACGACTACATGGCAGGCACACAAAGCAATGGTAAGAGGAATTTTCATTAGTAGAGCATCATATATTAAAAAAAAGCCAAAAACAAAAAATATCTTGAACTACTGGTGACCCTGCAAAAAATTCAGACAATGCAACACCTAAATCCCACACCAGAAAACTCACACGAAATAGACAAAATCACCAAACTAATCAACGAAATACATGTAGAGGACACAGCACGAACGCTTCAAAAACTAAAAATACGGCACTATACACAGGGAAATAAGGCCAGGAAGGCTCTGGCATCCCTGCTGAGACAAAGACAAAACCAATAAAAAATTCCCTACCTACACAAACGGGCGGGAGGGAAAACACACAATCCACAAGAAATCCTTGCGGAAATGGCAAGTTTTTTTTTTTTTAAATTCTTTATTTTTGACGTGCTTGAGGGTTACATGCATTCTCACTTCGCCACAACAGCTAAAGCAAGACACGTTTTAACATGAAGCTGAACAGTGATGGCATATGGGCAATACTGGTGCACATTTTTGTTAGGAATCAAGACTGGTACACATTTAAACTTAGATACAGTATGATTATAGAAAACAACAAATCAATTAGCTAACAGGCTTAATCGTGTATGTGATTAGGTTAGCAGTGTATGCTGCACATTTTCTATAGGTACATATACATATGAGAACTTTGCTTGTATGTCATGGATTTTTCTCTCATGGATGCTTAGTAAAGGAGAACATAGTGAGATATATATAGCATTATGTTAGATACTTTAAGACACGATAAAAGAGTTATAGTTGAGATTGACAGCATATAGCAGGTAGGCTAGATTTAGTTAACAAGGCATGCGTTTAGTGTTATGGCTGGCATCACTAGCTGGCATGAATATGTCTATGACAATGTAGAGATTTAACAAACCTGAATAAGCATAAGTAGAACATATGGAAATTACTGCAGCCATGGTGCAAGTGGGGTTGGTTTGGTTTAGGCGGTTTCAGTAGGAGTATGTGTCTCCTGCCCCAATGTCCCATGAATTAAGTACTATAAATGTGTAAAGTCAGTATGCAAAATCAACAGTGATTGAATTTAACTGACCACCTTGATAGGATGGCATTTAGGATCTTATAAACAGTCACAACTGCTCCCGTGTTACCGGAAGGAACTATCAAGGGCTCTGCCCGTTTCTGTCAGCCGATGCCACACATAGTCCAGAATCGGTAAGGCAGCTTGGTACCGAGCTCCTCTTCCCTCCCTACTCTCTTCCAGGTTCTCTCCCCAGTGGGTCGTGGATGAGCTCTCTGCCGTTTTCGTCCCCTGGGGTTTCCGCCTCGCTGCATCTCGATCAGTGTCTCCACGGGTTTTGTGGGTGGCAGTGTGCAGGTTTGTACTTTGCTGGTCCGCTGAGTGAGGGGTAGGTCTGGGCTTCTCCTGTGGCACGGGATTGTGGGTTGCAGCAATCGGGGGATCAGGCTCCATTTCCCGCCTGTTTGAGCTTCGGCTCTGATTCATTTTGGAGGTCGCTCTGGATTTGCGAGGGGGATGCCATTGCAGGGTGCCCCGTGTGGATGGGCAGATCTACGCCACCACCTCTCTCATTGCCATCTGGTAGGGTTGCCTTCAGGCTTTGAGCTTTGCCCAGAGATATGTGCATAGCAAGCTTATAAAGTCCCTTCTGTGCTTGGATGGTGCGATGTGTGGTTGCTTGGTCCTAGGCCACAGCCGCGACGCCATCTAGGTTGGGCCTTGTAAGCTTCGTCTTGTTGATGACTTTGTCGCTTGTGCAGGTGTGACTGTGGGGGTATTCATCCCCAGCGAGGACCGGGATGTCCCTCGCTGGTCCATAGGGGGGGTAGCAGGGCTGTTATAGGCTTCCGCTTAGGAGTGCATCCCAGGCCGGGAGATCGGCCATCTTCCCCAGGCTTCAGGCTTTGCTGCAGTTTAGGCCGCATGGTCGTTTGAGGTTTTTCCGCGGTGCTTCAGTGCCGGATATGTATCATTACGTTCACAATGCTGTTCTGTGTCTGATCCCGGTCACCGATTGCCGCTAATGCGATTGTGTCGGTCGGTAGCTTCACACTTTTGTCTGTGGTTGCAGGAGCCATGGCAAGTTTTTATACATCACTATACAACTTAAAATCCAACAAACATACACATGAACCAACCACAACAGAAATACATTTCCTGTCCCAGATAACATTGCCTAGCCTATCCCTAGACCAACAGCAGGCACTTAACGATCCAATCACTATGCCTGAGTTACTACAAGTCATAAAATCATTACCACAGGGAAAATCACCCAGACCAGATGGCCTCACCAATGCATATTACAAAACATTTAGCCACATCATAGGACCACATTTAATAGACACATTCAACCTAATAATATCCAAGGGCATTATGCCACAAGACATGTTGAGGGCACACATAGCAACCCTACCGAAACCGGGGAGACCATCAAACAAACCTCAAAACTTACGGCCTATATCTCTGCTCAATACAGACACCAAAATCTTAGCCAAAATATTTGCCACAAGACTATCAGGATTGATACCCACAGTAATAAAGTCGGACCAAGTGGGCTTTGTTACGGGAAGACAGGGGGCAGATAGGACAAGAAAGAAAGAAAGAAAGAGAGAACCCAGTGTGTTCTTATTGCTAGACACTGAGAAAGCGTTTGATAGATTGCACTGGGACTTCCTTAATGA